TGTTGTTTCATTTGTTTATTTGTTCATTTTTGAGATAGGGTACATGTACCCCAGGCTGGTCTCAAACTTACTCAATAGCCTTGAAGTTCTGATTCCTTTGTCTCTACTTCATGAGTATTGGACTTGCAGGTAATGTGTCACCATGTCCGCTTGAAGCAGGGGACTTTTGTGGCCAAGGCCACCCCTGGAGGTGTGAACAGCTTGGGACCTGTCTGAAGAGAGCTCTCCAACACTGGAGCATAGGAACATATGGACACCACACACTGTAGCACAGTGATTTAATGTTCTGATAACCATACATAAAAATGTCTGCTTTGTAATTGTTCACATGCTTGAATATTTATTTCCTTGTACTTATGTGTATGTGTGTGCTTACATGAGTTTATGTGTACCGCATGCATGCAGGTGCTCGTGGAGGCCAGAAAGCATCAGATCCCCTAGAATTGGAGCTACACACAGTTGTGAGTCACCTAGTGTGGGTGCTGGGCACCAAACCTGGGTCCTCTGTAAGAACAGTAAGCACCTTAACTACCGGTCTAGCTCTCTGGCCTGTAATTGTACATATTTTACTTTATGTGCTTAAAAATATTCTTCTGGGAAGAGGTGACATCCTGAGATGTCAAAGGGTTACATGGTGTAAAACGGGTGAACCACCCTCTGATACAGAAGGATTAGCAACACCTTTCTTAACAACTACTTTAGAAAATTGATTTTATCTTTCCCTAGTAACTTTCCACCCTCCTATCCTCCATGGTCTTCCAATATATTTATGGTACACATACAGTCCCATAACAGAGTTCAAGGTCTGGTTTCTTTTTCCCAGAGTCCTTTTAGCTAGCCCCTAGCATAGGATATATAAGGCTTACCCTGCGTTTACTGAAATCCTTTGTCCTCTTCTTCCAGACCCCACATTTTTCCTACATTTATTGATCTTTCAGTTGGAGATAACTGTCTAAAGTGAGTTTGCCTCCACACACACCCCCTTTAGTGCAGATGCACCCCTAAGTGATAATCTAGCCTTATCCCCCTGCCAAAGAACAAGAACCTAAGAAATGGCAGTAACACAAAATGGAAGGAGTCTGGTCCCATAATCTCCCAAGCAGGGAGAGCTTATGTGCCCCAACCTGGAATACCTACCTGTGCTCCTGCAGTCAGGTTAAAACCATCACAGTTAGGATCTATGTGTCCCACTGCATCCGCTTATTTTGTAAATACATTTGGTGGCACACCTTCCAGACTCTATCGATCTGGGCTCTAATTCCATCAGAGACTATTCAATAAGAGACTTGAAGCCAGAAGAAGGTAATGAATTTGTCTAACCTCATATATGATGGCTAAAATCGAACCCACAGCCTGCTGCTTCTGTCGGTTTCCCTGGTGCCAATCTACCTTCTATGGTCCTCCATGTGTGGGCTTATGCTGGGCCCAAGAGGCCATGAGCTTTCTATTTTAGCGGGGGGGGGGGGGGGGGAAGGGCAGAGGGATGAGAGGGGATACATTTTCTTGGCCTGCATTAGTGAGCCATTAGCTACCCATAGTGATCAAATTATCTGGAATGAACACTCAACTCCACATCGCATGCATTTAAAGGACAGATTTGCTTAAGACTCTCTAGCATTCGTTACCTCCATTTAGTGTAGGCAAATGCGACCATTCAGTATCAGAGGACTTCAGGGTCATTAGGTCCTTGACACTTCTCAATCATACTCTATATTAGGGGCTCACAAGGATAAACTCAAATGTGGAGGAGTGTCACCGTGATGATTACTAATGACATATATTAAGAAGGTAAAGCGTAACAAAAGCATTGACCTTGAAAATGATAATGACATAAACACAATTTATCATTTAGTGAGTGCAATTTGTTACTGTATAAGAAGAGCGCAAGAGCACGTGCACACGCGCGAATGCCCACACATATACACACACTTATCAAAATTGCCATAGTCAGCTTTGTCAGGCTAACAACCAGTTCCCAAAATCTTGGTGAATCCTGAAACAAATTTTAATTTTTTGCTCATGATGTATGTACTTCCTTAGGCCTTTTAATCCAGCATCTGGGCTGCAGGAACAGCATCAGGCAATGTGTCTTTCTGGTAGTAGAAAAGAAGAGCCAAAGATACAAACTTGCAATGCCTTATGTTTCTGTTTGGACATGTGCGCATCACATAGCTGGTATCCGGCAAGGGTACGCTAAACCCACATAGGGAAAAGGCAACTATTGAAAACAATAATAAAATGCCAATCCAGAAAGATAAGTACTAACTCTACTCCTCTCCTCTGAAATAACTTGGCTAAGTTCCTTATAGAGACCAGAAATATCTGTTCTACTTGGGGTGAATGGAGGCTTTGGTAAAATCTAACCTTGAGTTTGAAGCTTAGGTATGGTATTCCTGGGCAGGACGAAGAGCAAGGACCTTATAGGCAAAGGGTAGACCCAGAGTACAGAGATGGACAGGAGATTTAGTGGAGCGGCCTCAGCAGGCTCAGTCACAGAGTCGATGATCCATAAAAGCAGAATGGACGGGAGTTCTGATCAAGGCAGGGAGGACCAGATGCTAGGCCATCGAGTTTAAGTGCACCTATCGAAAGCGGGTAGACATCTTTGAGCAAGAGACTGCCATGACTGAAAGGATTATGTCTGAAAATTGATCTGACCAGGAACACAGCTGGACTCAGGGTGGGTGGGGGGGAGGGCTGTGAGCAGGAAGACCACTAAGCTCCTAGATATCCAGAACCGAGGTAGGAGTCTTGAAGCAGGGTGGTGGTGGTGGTGGTTGGAAGAATAGCAAGGCCAGATCTAAAAATTCAGAGCCCCTGTGGTTGGAGAGATGGCTCAGCCGTTAAGGGCACTGCCTGTTTTTCCAGAGGTCCTGAGTTCAATTCCCAACAGCCATATAGTGGCTCACAACCATCTGTGATGGGATCTGATGTCCTCTTCTGGTGTGTCTGGAGACAGTGACCATGTACTTGTATATATAAAATAAATGAGTAATTCCTTTAAAAAGAAAAGAAATCACCCCATTTGCATCATTGCAGAATAATTCAGTAATTAAGCTCATATGAAAAAAAAGTATTTGTGGTGCTAGAAAATTGAACCCAAAGCCTTGCACATTAGTTAGTTCAATTTTTTATTTATTTTTCCCCTTCCCTTTTCCCTCTTGTTCCAGCCCACTCACACCAACTCCTGCTCGCTCTGGCCCAAAGGTTTTTCATTCTTTTATTATATGTAAGTACACTGTAGCTGTCCTCAGACACAACACAAAAGGGCATCAGATCTCACTATGGATGGTTGTGAGCCACCATGTGGTTGTTGGGATTTGAACTCATGACCTCCAGAAGAGCAGTCAATGCTAACCGCTAAGTTATCTCACCAGCCCCCAAACCTTACTTTTTATGAGTCTTTTCCTTGTGTGTATTTATGTATGTGTGCCATAGGTGTGCCTGGTGCCCTGAGGGTCTGGAAAAGGGTGTGGGATCTCCTGGATATAGAGTTACAGTTGTGAGCTATGATGTGGGTGCTGAGAATCCTGGTCCTCTGCAAGTACAGCAAATGCTCTTAACTGCTGAGCCACCTCTCCATCCCAGATGTGTGTGTGTGTGTGTGTGTGTGTGTGTGTGTGTTTGCTTTGAGACCCACTTTCATCCTGTAATCCAGGCTGGCTTGGACTCCACTATGTAGCCCAGGCTGATCTTGACCTCACATCTCAACCTACGTGAATTCTGGGATTACAGATGTGAGCCAACACACTGAGCAGGTACCCCATCGGAGTTTGTAAAAACAATAGCTGGGATAGCAATGTACACCTTTAATCTCAGCACTCTGGAGGCAGAGGCAGGCAGGTGGTTCTCTGTGAGCCCTAAGCCAGCCAGGGCAACAAAGAGAGAACCTGCCTTGAAAAATAAAGAAAATAAGGCATGCAAATTAAAGCTTCAAGACAAGTTTTCACCTCTTTGGCAAAAGGTAGGTGGCTGCCTCTCTTCCTTGCATTTGAACAGACTCCAGCTGTCCAAGAAAATTGAGCTTTGGGGCGGTAAGAAATTAAGCAGGGGCCACAGCCCACGCCTAGGTGGCTGGAAGAACTAATGGCCAGTTTCAACCGGAAGCCTGACATCCAGCAGGTGGCCATCTCCAGCAGGCACCTTAAAAATTCAGTTCTCAAGCTGTACAAAGGTGTCTCAATAAATGAGATAAAAATAACTCCGTGAAAATGCTTTGCAGTGTGGTAAGCATGATTAGAATTTACCTATTTTAAGGTTTTTCGTCCCCAAGGTCACAGTTAAGATACCTAATGGGTTTGAATGCTCCTTGATTTAAAAAAAATTTTTTTTCACGAAACCTCTTAAGTGTATTACGATCATCTTAATCTGTTTCAAGAGGATTTCTCAAGGAAATCATTCACGTTGGCCATTAACAAAAAAAAGGTGGAAAGAAAGCAAGCAGACGGCTGCCCCTGGGAAAGTGTGCTCTATCTGGAAGGCCACATTTTGGGAGACTCGAGTTGCCTGTGTAGCACTTGGGGTCCAAGGAGTACTGCCTGGCGAGCCAGCGAGGGTGAACTGAAAAGCGGAGACGACCAGCACACCGCTCTGCCTGGACCCCGCGGGAACCGAGGGAGGAGACCCCTGGACGAGACAAAGGCTGCAGCCCCCGGAGGCCGGGGTGCGCGTGCGCCACGGAACGCGCGTGCGCGCGGCGGTCAACACCGCGGCCCGAAGCGGGGCGGGACCCGGGAAGGGAAGCGCGGAGAGGGGCGAGCCGGGCGGCGCGGGGAGGGGGGGGGGGGGCTGGTGGGGCGCTCGCGCGCGCCCCCTGGCGGCCGGAAGGGGAAGTGCGCACACGGGCCTCACGGCCCGCCCCTCCCCTGGGGAGGTTCGCGCTCCCGTGGCTCGCGCCTGCGCTGCCCGCCGGCCTCGGGAACGCGCTCTCTCGGCCGCGCGCGCGCTCGCAGTCTCCGCCACCCACCAGCTCCAGCACCAGCAGCAGCGCCGCCGCCACCGCCCACCTTCTGCCGCCGCCGCCGCTGCCGCCGCCGCCACAACCACCTTCTCCTCCGCTGTCCTCTTCTGTCCTCGCCTTCTGTCGATTATCAGGTAAGCGCCGCAGCTCCGAAATCTAGTCCCCTTCTGCCCCTGTGCGCCATCCTCCTGTCGCCCCTCGCCCCAGAGATGGATTTAGGGCGCTGGGCATCAGTCAGGCGCAAAGGCGGGGGCCTCTCTGCGCCCTGGGCGCTGGGGAGCTGGGAAGGAACGGGTGCGAGAGATGCATGCACGCGGGCGAATGCATGCATCTATGAGTGCTGGGGTCCGCACCATCGGCTCCGCGCAAATGGGGGGGGGCTGTGCCCGCAGGGTGGGGCGCGGATGACGGTGACCTAGGGAAGGGGTTGTTCTGTAATCTGGATCTCAGCCTTTTGCCGCAATGGGCGTGGGTCTGTGCGAGTGTATGGGGGTCCAACGACGACCCCCGAAAGCGAACCTGAAATCGGATTTCTCTGCCCCTGATTTCCATCAGCCCTAAGGAAGGTGTGGATCGGGTTCTAGAAAAGATGACTGCCTTCATGCCTCTCCTCCACCTCCCTTGGCAGTGATTCTGACACGGCCTTCACTGGCCCTGATTTAAGGCGGTGGCCCGCCCCCTCCCCTTTTCCTCCTTCAGAAGCCGGCAGGGGACATTTGGGGGCTGGGAGGAATCGGGAGGATGGGGAGGGGTCCAGGCGCTGTCACTTTAGCCGCCCTTCCCCCTGCGCGCGCTTGGTACAGTGACAGGGGCAGCGCCGTGCCCGAGAGAAGGTAGTGCGCGGATCCCAATGTGGGAGCTCCAAGAAGCAGGGGTCACCTGGCCTCGCGGTGTCAGCGGGCTGGGCGGCAGCGGCTCGCCGCTCGAGGGTGCGCAGCGTCGCAGCCAGGCACAGACCTGTGCGAGGGCTGCAGGTGCATTTCGGGGCGCGATTCTTTCTCTGGGTTCTGCGCTGGGCTCCCGGCATGTGCGCTCCCTGCCGGAGGCGCGGGCTGGCGCGCAGGGCTCGCCCCTCACTGCGGCAGTGGGTGTGGACCTGGGTGGGAGAGGAGGGGGGAGTAGGATGTGTCTCCTCCCGCTGCCACCCCTCCTCCGTTTTTTTTTTTTTTTCGCCTCTCTGAACGCGAGGTGCCATCTTTTTGCGGCGAGTCACGTCTCTATCGTAGCATGCCAAGACCTGTGGCCGGGCTTTGGAGGACCCGGCTTGGACCCATGTTAAGGAGCAGGGGGCGATGAACACGGAAACCTTGGCGTTTTGCCTCAGCAGCCGTGCGCACCCGAGCGTTCACCTGAGGTCATCTAGGGGAGCTCGCTGCTTTGTTCGTCGTGTGATTTAGGATCTGCGCTCCCAGCCCTGTTTTTTTTTTTTAGGGGGGCGGGGGGAGGCGGGGAGCTTTCATTCGACAAGGATATTTGCCTACGCGCTCGGAACAACTCCATCCTTTTTTTTTTTTTCCGCCATTCATTTCAGACCCTTTGTTGGATCTACAGACTTGCGGGGGCACGCATGGAACGGACGTGACCCCGCGCAGCCCTCTCCCCAATTCGGCCCAGAGCCACATGGGTGGGATTCGAAATAGTCTCTCGTGTGCAGGAGTCCTCAGAGGAAGCACATCCCTCCCCATACCCAGGCCGTCCTGAGGACCACACCCCACTGGTGTTTCACATCTTGGGGAGCCAGCTAACCCTCGGAAATGGGGAGATTCAGCAAGCTTGACTCCCCGTTCCCACCACCACCACCACCTTTGTACCCTGTTGCCTCTCCCGGTGGGAGCGTGTGAGGAGAGGGTATGAGATCCCCTGGGATGCTGCGGCCACACCCATCCCTCCCAACCCACCAAGAGGGGGTTAAGGGTTGCCATAGGAACCACACCAACCAGAGGAGGAACCTCTGGGCGTTACCCCCGCCCCTTACTCCGTGGAGATTCAGAACCCTGGAGTGGTCTGATAGAGCCTGAAGATGCGAGGAAGGAGCCCCTCATTTCTGATGCAAGCATCATTCTCTTGGCGCTGGCAACCATAGCCATCCAGAGAGATGCCTCTAATGTATTTTATTATAAGCGTATTGACTGATATTATTTTATTAATATTATTTAAATGAGGGTCTTTCACTTAAAAGTCCACATTTACAACAGCCCTTGAAACCAGAGAGGGATAGAAAGCAAACAGGTCCCAGCCTCCCCACCCACCGTACAGTACGCTCAGTCTTCGAGGTTTTCTGGTTAATTCTACCGCTGAATACTGGTGCGGACGAGCAGTTTTGAGACCGACAAGCTTCTTCTTAAGGGCCGAATTGCCCACGTTGGCTGCCCAGATTGATGTGTATTTCTGAGAATGTCTCAGCTGGGGTGGAACGCCCTCTCCCGGTCAAACTGCGGCCTGAGGCTTTGGCGTCGTGGCTGGACCCGCCCGGCAGAAATTTCCTGAGCATCTGAAAGATTGGTTCAAATACTACCCATCCCTCGCCACGCAACGGGCTGCTGGGAGCAGGATTCTTAATCTGGAAAAAGCCAGGCTCTTGGGGTGGGCGCAGAAAAGGGAAGCCTGGGAGGGAGGCTGTCTATAGCGGGCCTGTTGGGCAAAGGTGTCACAGTTCTGTAGGTGGGAAATCAGCAGGAGGGGGATCGGAGAGAGAACATTTCACCCAGTGCAGAAACAAAGCTCAGACCACGCGTCTTCGAACTCACTCCCATTTTGCACTGTGTTGAGGTACTGAGTGAGGTACTGTGCTGGCCAAGGCCCGAGTTGTTACTGAAAGATCGTCGGGGCTGCTGCATGATCCTTCTGCAGTTTGAGAGGCTCCATTGCCGCCTCTGCCCTTGCTTTAACAAGCCAGTTTCATTCGCCTCCGAAGCTAGAAGTTTATGCTGAAGCCGGGGCGCTGAGAAAGCCTGGCTCATCTGAAAGGGTTCAAGAGCTTCACCCACTATCCTCCGCGGGTGGGTGATCCCTTTTATATCCAGGAGGCCCTATTTACCCTCTGGCGTTCAAGAAATTGTAGTCCCAAGTCTGGCTGGTTAGCATTGGGTGGATGACAGGGTCAGGAACAAACTAGCCACGTTTGGCTCAGTCCCCGGGCTCCATAAGACTGCCCGAATTTTGCAAGGTTCTTACCCGGCCCCTTCAACTGTTGGGTCTTATAGCAGGAAAAGAAGTATGAAGCCATCGTAGGTTACTTCTGTGATTACAATTCTGAGATGTCATCTTGGGTTCAATGCTACTGCTTGTGTTTGCCACATAAGAATTGCTTGCCCACTCGCCATTTGGAAAGCTTCTCTAAACAAATGGCTATCCAGATAAGTGCTCATTCCTCCCCCAGCTGCCAAGCCCGCTGTAATGACGGCTGATCTATTCTGCACCGTTTGCTTCGCCGGCAGATGTGTGTAGCTATAGCAGTGATCTGGCTTGGCTTTGGGGCTCACCTTTGGATGATTTGAATATTCCTTAGCTTGACTGGATGTGTGTGTGTGTGCGTGTGTGTGTGTGTGTGTGTGTTTAAAGATGAATGACAGCCCACGGTGTGCCTCTCTCTCTGCCCCTGCACAGACCCTGTCTACACAATTGCATGTTGGTGGAAGGGTGTGGCTTTTAAGTGGCTTCTAGTGTCAGGCTCTGTTCCCCAGAGAGGAACAAAGGAAACAGATAGTGCCCAGGAGTTGCAAGAAGAAAACTTGGTTGCATTGAGGTAAGGTCAGGCTTGTTCCCACTGAGAAAATGAGCCCTTGTACTGAGCAAGCTCCCTGGCCCACTCGCCCTTGGAGGGCAAGATTGGCCTGGAGATAGGACAGGACTGGGGTGCCCTTTGTGTACACTGACTTTCCTCGTCCCTTCTAAACATCAACATGTGCAGTTCATTTGTTAAAAATGTTAAGGACTTGTGTTTCATTCTGTCTCCCTTGAGCATGCTGTATATGGCTTTTGTGATTTCCTGGCTGTGTGTATGAACATACACTACTTTTTTCAGTTGAATATATGAACCTTTCCCACTATGCCTTTTCTTTTATTTATTTAGTTAAGCTCTTCCTTGGTCCCCTCTTGAAAATGAATCGCTTCAAAAGAATATTTTTAAATACCTAATATAGAGCTAGATATATAATGGGTGTCTGGCCTGTCATCGTTTGACGGGTAAGTGGATAAAATGGAGCAATACAGCTCAGGAGGGCATCCGAGAGAATGTAGAGAGGGGTGCAAATTCAAGGTCACAGCATCTGGGAAGCTTAGGGACAAATCCAGTCTATTTTGTCTGTGTGTCCAGTTGGCGCCCACACAGCTGCCTGTGTGTCCTTGCTCTGCCTCAGGCCCCAGAGCATCCACAGGTGGCTCACCTGCCCCTTGTTGGTGAAAGGGGGATGAAGAGCCTAGAGGGGGCTATCACACTCCACAAGCCCACCTGTGGGGGTGGCCATGTTCCTGCTGCAGGTGACTGGGATGGAGATGGGGAGCCTCACTCTCTCATCAGCCACTGTAGAGACACTCATCTGGCTACTCTGCACACAGGAGTTAGGGTCAAGTGGGAAGGAGAACCGTCCCTGGCCCCTAAATGGGGCCTCATAAGGCTACTGAGACTTGGGTCTTTTCCTGGAAAACCATGGTCCTCATTGGGGTTGCTGAAATGTCTGGAAAGTGGTGTATGTTGTGGGCATCTTGTGGGGCGAGGCCAGAAGTGCTGCTAAACATTACAGGACAGTTGCCAAATGGCACTGGCACTGGCATAGGGAAACCCTGCTGTGGAAACAGTGTTTCTCTGGCACTTTTATCTCAATTATAGCTAGTGCCCGTCTTCTAGGAGTGCTGCAGCTGCCGGAGGACCTTATATAGTCTTCACATGAATCTCACTGAATGGTAGTAACTGTTACCCTCTAACACATAGGGAAGCCCGCCAAAGCCCAGAGAGATTTCATAACCAACTAAGGATGCACAGCACAGGACACACAGCTAAGCTCCATGAGATTTAATTGAGTTTTGTGGGCTAGCCTGGGAACCTAGTCAGGCCTTCCAAACACCCAGTTCTTTTTGCAAGAGTCTGTTTGGATCATGGGCTAGAATAAGTTACAGAGGTGTGGATTTGAGTCCT